ATAAAACACCTCTTGCCCTGTGTGGAAGATGTGCTGCTGTGCTTGGTGCTGTCGTAGGAGGGCTCGTCTGAGCCGGGCATCGTTGTCAGCCTTTGTGACGGCTGTAGCTGCTTGTTGTTTCAGGTGGAGCTTGTGGAGCATTTGCTCACTGGGGGTGAGTTGGGCAATGGTGAGGTCTTCATCCATCAGGTGGCCTGGTAGCTTTGGGACAAATCCAAATGTCCATTGTGTTGCTGAATATCCTTGTAAATTGGGTGTGTTGTTGATTTGAGGTATGACGTATGTGAGTGCCTGTGAGATGCTGTCTCTGGTGATTGGTGTTGCATTGTCTGCCAGGTATAATTCGACGGCTCGTCTCAGAACCTGATGTCGCCGCTCGAGTAGCCCCAGGCGGGCATGTGCTTGTCCTGGGTTGATGTTGGGGAAGACCCCGTGGTCAGATGCCCAATTGCGAAGGGCCTCGCTGGACCATCCTCTGTGGTCGTCGATTTGTAGGGTTGTAGGTGGTCCGAAGTGTCGGATCCAAGCTCGTTCGAGAGCTTGGATGAAGTCTGGAGTCTTTTCCGAATCGAGGACTCGTGCGGCCATCAACTTGGTGTTAGCATCCATGATGGCAAGGATTGGGATGGTCTTGTCCTGCTTGGTGTCTTGTTTGTTGTGGCTGTTGGTTGAAATCCAAAGTGTGTCTGCCAGTATGCGGTCGTTGAAGGTGGTGCCGTGTCGTAGCGTGCTCTTGGATAGTTGTGGTGGTGGTTTGTGGAGGTAGCATAGGTCGCAGTGGTGGTTTGCTGCTGCTTCAAGTAGCTTGTTGCTGGCATTGCGGCTCTTGAGGAGTCTTGTCAACTCCTTGTTTGTTGGATGTCCAAGGTTCCTGTGTAGTCGCTGTATGGTGCGCTCTGCTGCCTGCTTGTTGGTCTCGTCGAGACGTGTGAGAATGCCAGTGTTGTCTGTTGTGGGTGCTTGCTCTACTGGTACCATGCTGGCATCGGCTGATTCTGCCGGAGTGTTTTCTGCTGCTTCTGCTGGTCGCTCTGATGGAGCCTGTGATTGTGCTGCTGATGGCTCTGCTTCCTCGTCGCTGTTGCCTTGGTATGCACTCTCGGTGGTGACGTAGTGGTGGTGGAGAAACTCATCTATGAGCTGTGCCCATTGTCCACACATTACTGGGGCATAGACGCCCGCTGCTGCTGCTCCGGAACCAGTGCCAGGTGAGGTGCCTTCGATCGGAAGGTGATAGTGGTTGTCGCGACATGTCCAGTGGAAGGCTTGGGCCAGGCGCTGATCGGTGAATCTGAGAGTTGTTGGTCTCTTGATGAACTGTGGTTGCCCTTGGTGGTCTGGTAGTGTTGCGCCGTATTGGCACTGGTGGATGAGGGCATCATACCCGGGTGTTTGTTGGAAGGTTGTGGTTTCCCATGCTGCTGAGGGCTGTGGTTGCTCAATGGTGCCATGTCGCTTGCCTTGCTGTTGCTTGCGAAACACCTTGCTGGTGAATGCCAAATGTGTGTGTTCCTCGTAATCACGAGTGGCCTGTAGAAATTCTGCTTGTGCTGAGCTGCGGACTGCAAGTCGTTGAAGTGGAGACCACTTCTTGCATGGTGGTGCTAGCCAGACATAATCGGGCTGGACTTGGTAGTACAAGCGCATGAACTGCTGCCTGTGTTGTGAGGACGTGAAGTCCCAGCCATTTGCCCGATCAAATATCTGGACACTGTAGCCGCGCTGTTGCATAGCCTTGGCAAGGTTGCCACTGCCGGAGTAGACTTCCCAGAACTGGAGTTGCTTCCTATCGTGAGCTCTGAGGATGCTCTCAATTGCTGCTTGCCTTCTGTTCTCGGTGGTGGAGATGTGGTATTGGATGCTGTCAAGCATCTTGCTGGTGAGTGGTCTGCTGACCAGGTCGTGGTCGGTGTTGTATGGTGGTGTTGTTTGTTGATTGTCGTGGATAGTGGTGTTGTTGTTGTCGTGAGTGGTAGTGTTGTTCACAGTTACAACTGATGGTTGAGTGGTGGTTGTATCATCGTAGCAAGTCATGGCGACGTCTGGGGCGCTTCTGCCAGTTGTAGTGATGTAGTGGTTGAGGTCGTAGGTGTTATCGTCGTTGTGAGTTGAATGGTTGTTGAGGACCTCGTAGGTCTCAGTTGTCACAAGGTCGTAATGGTAGTCAGTGGTGGAAGGTTCTGTTGTCTGTAGGTCGTCAAGTTGTAGTAGGTGCTCCTGTCGCTTGCCAAGTGGTATCTTTTGCCAGTTTATGCCATCTGTGGAATAGGTGTCAGTCGTGTAGTCGACCTTGAGCTGGAGAGCTTTCAAAATTGGTCTGCCGACCAGAAGTGGTGTGGCGCCCTCCACGATGAAGCATTGGATTCGCCCAGCTATGCCGTTGATGAAGGTTGGCATGTGCACAGACCAGGCTGAGTGCATCTCGGTGTCGCCGCCAAAGTGGAAGAGCTTGTCGGCCGCTCGAAACCTGAAATGCTCCACTGGGACACCAAGGTTGTGAACATGTTGCAGGTAGGCCATCAAGGTGTGGTGGCCAGCTACCATGGTGCTTGCTCCTCCATCCTGAGTCGCGTAGTAGTGGAGGTCAGGTGTGGTAGTGTTGATGTAGGTGCTGGTGCTGTCGTCATGGATCATGAAGGCAGAGTGGCTGGTGGTTCTGGTCTTTTTGGCTGGTGAATTGTTGCCTGAGTTGTTGGGTCGAGTTGCGCGTTGTGGGCAGTCGGCTGCATAGTGGCCAGGTTGGTTGCAACGAAGACAAACTACGTTGTTGTCGCCACCAAGTGCTGCTCGTCCTCGAGACTTCGCATCGCCTTTCTGTGGTGGTGATGCATTCTTTCCTCCTCCTTTGCCCTTTCCTTTGTTCTTGCCCTTCTTGCCGCCCTTGTTGTTGGGAGGGAAAGGACGTTGCTGGGAGGATGAGCTGGTGGTTGTCTCAGGACCTAGAGCCACCACGGGCCAAAAGCCACGATTGGCTTTGATTTCTGCAAATCTTCGTCGTGCGTCCAAGTAGGTCGCATATGCTTCCTCGGCCTCAGGGTCGTTGTTTTCTGGCAGATCATAGTCTGGGTAGTAGTCCTCGGCCGCCGTCATGCCATCTTCATGTTCATAGGCGTCCTCAAACTCAAGGACGTCGTTGGACTCAAACACCTCGTCATACTGTGTGTCATCAGCATCATCGCCGTAGAAATCGGCAGTCTCATAGTATGCCTCATCATCGAAGTCTTCGTCAGCGACATAGGCAGTCTGCCGTCTTGTCCATTGGGATGATCTGTGTGTTCCTTTTCCACGCTGGTCAAAAGTTGTTCTTCCTCGGTAGTCTTGGCCGAGGAGGTAGTAGAGGGCTTCCTCAACTGCGTTCTCAGTCATTCTGCTATCGCCAATCTTTGTCAGCACGAGTTGTCGCTGCTCCTGGGTCAGATTGGCTCGCTTCAGAAGTGTGTACGCTCTGATCTCCTCTGGGATGACAATGCCATGCTTCTCAATCTCCTGTCTCGCGTCACGGAATTCCGTGGCAAAGGACATCAAGGTTTGCTCTGGCCTTCGGGTCAACTGGTAGAAGAAGCGGTCAATGGCCTTCGGGCACTCCACGCGGTCATTGTACTTGAAACTCCTGTCAAGTAGTGCGATGGTATCATCAAAGCCACTCTCAGACTCAATCAACTTCTCCGCATCACGCTCAACAAGCTTCCAGGCTGCTCCCGTCAGGGAGGTGAGCAGATTGATCACTGCTTCCTTGGGTTTCTTTTGTAGCTTCATCTTCATCTTGTAGAGCAAGACACGGGCTCGATACTCCCTGTAGTCAGCTGGTCGATTGCTGAAAATTGGGATGTAGTTGTCCTTCAAAGTGTCAGGGCTGACTGTCTCCTGCTTAGAGCCAGACATCTTCGGCGGCCCCTTCACGGGGCTCCGCCTACCAATTTGAGGATGGTTGCAAACAAAGGTTGATCCTCGCCTGAGTCCCGCTCGAAGTGAACCAGGTCAAAGTAGAAAGTGCAAAGCCGCGGCGCAGTTGTTTATGCGCCAGTGCATAGCCATCAAGGTGAAAACCGGTCCCTCCCTATCAATTGGGATTGGGCCGATACAAAAGGAAGGTGAAGCTGGCACCTGAACAAGTTGCGTGGAGCGAAACTCACAATCATATTATCTCATAGAATATCCCATTATTTATATATATATATACACATCCCATAAAATGCTTGGTTCAAGTGGATCTCCCCACTATCTCCCCACCATCACTGGGCCGGCACCCTACCCATCCGTTTCTACCGAGCTTCCACCCGAGCCCCGGCAGCCAGCCGTTCGTGCTTTGGGCCAACTTGCGCAGCTGCTGGACGTAGGACACCACGTCCACGCGCCGGCGGCACACGACCATGGCCTTGCAAAACTGGTGGCATGCCATGGGATGGAATGGAATTTTCTCATGGGAATATCATGGCTGGTTGGTGGTTGACCTACCCCTCTGAAAAATATGAGTTCGTCAGTTGGGAGTATTATTCTCAATATATGGAGAAATAAAAAAATGATCCAAACCACCGACCGGAATGTATGTATAATCGAAATATAGAGTGAATATAATCATTATAATACGAATAACAAAAAACATATAAGGATTAAGGAATATAGTGGGACTATCATGGGAATATTGGAAGATATAATTATATAATGGAACTATAAAACCAACTATGTGAGATCAGTCTGTCAATGGTGGATTTCGCCACCAAAATGTAGGGAGAATGCTGAGTGGCCACAGGATGGAATTGGGGTACCAACTGTGAGCCATCAATCAAACTCATGAATCCAAAAAGCCGGATTATAATACGCTTGTGACCCACTGGGTCCATATTCAACTCCAAACCTCATCTTTAAATCTTGGTGGCTAAAACAATGTCATAAAACCATCCCCCAGTCATCACCATAGATAGGTGATATAAATGTTTATTATTGTTTTAACCTCATTATGAATTTTCAGTGTTCACTAGTCAGATTTCCCGGATTTTCCTCTACAGAAATGGCTTGAAGCCTGCCTGCCACCCCCCGAGAACTGCCTTCATATCGGTAGCAAAGGCTTCATCATAGCTTTGTGCCACCCTGCTATGGATGGAAGATGATGGAAGCAACAGCACTGCAACATCAAACATGTCTGCCAAGATGGTTTCATAGAGGGTGAAGGGGTAGTCAAAAGTCGCCTGGAATCTTCATCCGCATATAACTTTGCATCATATCATGACCCCACAATAGGATCCTACCTCTTGTTTCGTAACATTTTCCCCCACCAACACCCGGATCGTCCGGGATGCACGAGCGACAAGCCGCCCGTTCCAGCGGACAGTCACGACCCCGGAGCCTTTGTAGATCCGCCAAGATGTAGCGGCACTTCTCTGAAAGGCTTTGAAGTCGGCAGGTTTCGTAGTTGGTCAAGACGTCCAAGACCACTCCTACAGAAAGGATTCAACCGGTGGCAGGGCTGCAATCCGCCTGTGGATTGACTCACACTTTCGTGACTTTGTAAGCTGGGTTCATGTTGGCTGTCGGCTTTCCAGTTCTATAGTTCTGAACGGCATCCTTCAATCTGGGATTACCAATTTGTGTGGCGCCAGAAAATTAGATGTAGAAAGTTTGATTTTGTATTCACCTGATTGAAACCTTGAAGTGGGTGATGCAAACAAAATCAAGAAACTTAACTCAATGAATATTTCACCAGTTTGAAACCCTGTTTTCCGCGCAGCGTGGGTATAAGTCATCAAAATATGTTAAGATTTTATTGACCAGCCATTTGTTTTCCATTGGTCCCAAAATGACTCGACCCATTCCAAGTCCCAATCAAATCCCATCTTGTCTTGTGTAAATCCACCCTTTTGTTGGCTCAAACCAATTTATGTTGGTGTATGTTGGTGTTACTGTATGTATAAACCCACCTTTTCTTGATGAAATACTGGTGAGACTCTTATCAAATATTCAAATATATACATAAATCCAAATATAAATCCATATAAATCCACCATTCTTTCATGTTATATATATATAATATATATATAATTATATATACGTATAATCATATAATATACACATAATATCACATAATAACATCATATCCACCAACTCATAACTCATCCCTTCTTTTTGTATCCCATGGCACCGGTTGATCCAATGGCACCGCACTCCTTCCTTCTCAGCCTGTCCCAGGTGGTAGCCATGCACTGATGCCCTGAAGAGGCGCAAGCAGCTGGGGCTGGGGGTTCCGGTGAAGCCGATGTACACCTGGGCGTTTTTGGGGCCTTCGAATCACTCACTTCACTCAACACTTGTGGAATCATCCTAATTTTGGGCTTGAAAATACCACAAAAAAACTGGGGAACCAACATTGGGGGAAATCAACCAACATATTGGGGGATGAATCATGGTTTTTTTCTGATAGGGTAAGGGGGAAGAGATCAGGAAATATGATGTTATGATAGCTGAGCTGGTTTTAAAAGTAGGAGAAGGACTGGTGAGACATGGTAAGACATAGTTCGATGATCTCTGTTCAATTACTGGACGATTGATTAGTGGAACAGACGACTGGATGACCTGTTTGCTAGTTCGAAAACTGATTGGTTGAGCCCCTCCGAAAAATTTGCTTGTCAATGGGAATCATCATCCTATTGCTAGGCTAGGCTAAAATGGTGAAAATCCAAAATATTTACCCTCTGGTAATTTCTTACATAATTATGGAAAATCACCATTTTTGTGGGATAATCCACTATTTCTATGGTCATTGTCAATAGCTATGCTTGTATGTTTACCAGAGGGTAAAACCACCAACCAGATTGTTTGAGTATTGGATGACCCTGTTGGGATCATCCAACGAGGACATCCGCCAGCCTGGAAGGGCCGTGAGAAAGTTACAGAAGCCTTTTATTAAAGCATCAATAAGTGTCAATAACTCATGCCTCTTTTTTATTTTTTTTCACGTGTTTAAAAGCATCAATACATATAGATATATATATATATATCAATACCATCTGTGACAAAATATTGTGCCCAACCACTCATTATTGTTTAAAATACATACCTCCAACAAGGACTTCGAGGAAAGATGTGTTAATTGTAAATGCTGGAAATGGACAGCCCGACATGGCTGTAGGGCCAGACATCTGGCATGCAACCCGTCCTGGTCAGCCCGAAATTTTGGAATATGCCGCGTTGTTTTATCCTGGATGGTTTCACACCAATGTCACCAGGCAGTGATTCCAATCTGCGCCTGTTTCAGTAATTTGGGGCACATTGCTCAATATTCACCGCCAAGCCAATCGGCATGGTACAGAAAGGAGGTAGAGCGCAACAGAAAGTCATCTTTGTGATTGGTACCCTCTGCAAAAACAAAAAAACATGGGGTGATGTACTCCGTTTGTCAGGTTTGATTCCTGCAGGGTGATAGCTCTTCTCATTGAGATGTGGTTGAGCTTTTCTTCGGATACAGCAAGTGGGTAAGCGTTAGTCATGTAATCTTTGCATCTTGTTTTCACTATCCGACATGCACCATGGTACGTGTACTTTGCCCAAAAAAGAAGCCCGGAAAAACCTATGAGCTTATCCCGAATCTATAGTGGTGGAATGACCACCACAAGTGTCAGTTGGATTCTCACTGGATCATATGCAAATAAAACCTCCATGAAGCTGAGAACAGGACTTCATGAGGCGAATTGATCATTCGCAAGGGGAACCCCCCCCCCCGGGAGTGGCACAGTGGCCCGACTTTGACAACCAAGATGCCAAATCTTCTGGTTGGGTCGAGCGTCCACCGCCAAACCTCAAAACAAAGGAGGGTTGAGTGTTACTAGGATGTCACAAAACAAATCTGAAGAAATCAATCTTAAGAGGAACTTAACTTTTGATCAATAGACACTTAAATCCAGAAAGAATGACTTACCCTCTGGTAATTTCACATAGCTATTGAAAATCACCATTTTGTAGCTGGGAAAATCCACTATTTCGACTGGGCCATTTTCAATAGCTATGTATAGACATAACCAGAGGGTAGATATCTTGGCCTGACTAGGTCCGGAGGTACCCCACGGCTCGGTCAACCCCCATTATCTAGTGATGATTGCTGCTTAAGTAATGTTAGCCTGTGGTCGTACCTGTGGTTTGGGGCGTCCATTACCCTCCTCTCAAGCAAAATATTGATGGCTGTATCAGAATTTATCTAATCATATATATATATATATACAGTATATATATATACATCACTAGTCACTGTTGGGTAATGCATCTCAATCAGCGTTTTGTTGCTTTTCTATGGTCGCCATTCTTAGATACTCTTCTAAGAAACACTGGTTGTATATTCCCATGTTGATATGTTGATGGTTAACCTATTATTTAACCTGTTTCTTAAACCCCTACAAATATCATACTGTTGTTTGGTTATTTCCCATGATATCCTCATAAACCCAGTAACTGTTGACAATAGATAGATCTACGAGTACCATAAACCCTATTTGTTGGAGTTATGTACCAACGTAACGTAGCTAGCTATGAGGGGCCACCTTGTGCTCACTTAAAATCTATGTCCCAAAGTTTGTAACGTCTACACCAAGTAGCACATCCCCTCATAACAGTCCCATATGCCATATAGTACCATGTTCTTATGTATGGTTGTATATCATACCCCATTGCAGCACCCCCAAAACAGATAGGAAATTGGGCAGCTTGAAAATAGGTATAACAAATTATTAACATGTATTAAATATCATCTAAAACTCTGTAACCTCCTGGAAACACGTTTCTAATCTTTTCTAGCTTTTTAGACTTATCCCAATGTTCATGGTTGAATCTGCCAGTAGCCCCACTTTTCTCTCCCAACCAAGCCACAGCATCCGCACGGCCTCCGCCGTTTTGCCCCCCTCGAAGTGCGCCCGATGACACTCTTCGCAGATCACGGCCACGCGGCCACAGGCGAAAATGGGCGACAGATCCAGGGAGTTCTTGCCATCCTAGGAAGGCCATGCGCTTGGAAAGCCGATGGGTGCTGGAAATGGATGATGTTTGGGGAAAACAAACAGCTGAAGTCGATGGCGGTTTATGAAATCATCGATATTCGGCTGAAGAGTTCATTGAAATATCGTAGTTTGTTGGTGGTTGACCTACCCCTCTGCAAAATATGAAAGTCAATTAGTTTGTTGGGAATCAAAGATTGCTTGGATTAGTGGATTGGTCGAAGCTATCGCGAACATAGCGAAAATGTAAAAATAAATGGAGGAGACCATAGGGTTTCTCATCAAAGATTTTGAGGGAAACTGAAACTGGTGAATCTTCCCCTATAATCATTAGCTGTCTTTGGCCGGTTCCAGAAAGAATGTTGCTTTGAATTGACGAAAAAAACAGTATATAGATGGGAACAACAACCAAAGAACTATGGGTGCTTGGTTTACCAGGGTGCGTGTTTTTTTTTCTGGTAACAAAGCTCACACTATCAAGAGAAGTCCTTCTTGTAAAGCTCTCACTGCAAACGTAATTATATACCTCTCTCAAGTTGCCCTGCGATCTTTTCACTGCACCAGCTGCAGAGCTATGTCAGAACTAGGGACGCTGCGATCATCACAGGTCACTTAGAAAAAGAAACTGTCCATGAGTCCATCATGATCTTCCGCGGAAGCATGAATGATAATGTTGATCAATGATGATAGTTGAAACCTAGCGCCGCTACCGCCTGGTAGTGGTGTTTGGTACCACCATACCACTTGAGGCCACTACATCAGCAGATCAGGATATTTCCCAATTGGTGACGGAGGGCTGTGCTTCTGTCCATTTCAGCATCGGCCCTACCTCCAACTCTTGCCACAGCATGGTGATGCACCAGGCTGTCCACTCCAGAAATATACCAACTAGTCATGTAACATCACCCCTGAGGCATCAAACCGGCTACACTGCTAGTCTCACTTCAAATACAAGGCATGCCGCGGTTTTCCCTATTGATCTATTGGAGGTCTTGAGTCTACAGCAAAATGCTTGAGTGGTTTTCCCACTGCTACCGTAGGACAGGCGAGAGGTAAGTCACGCCGCGCCCGTCTGTGAGAATTTGCCGGTTGTGTCCTTCCCTCGTCCAGGTAACAATTTCCCTGTCTGCACGATACGCAGCAAAGGCAACTTTGGAAGCAAAAAGATGAAGGACATACCCCAATTCACCTTGCACCAAACTGCTGTCACCACCGCGCAAGGGATGACCCCAGGTCACTACTCTTCCGCCGGACGTAAGAGCAGCGAAAGCGCCATCAGACGCAGCAACGCTTTGAACATCCACCAATTCGGACTGAACGTGTTGGCTCGCCCCACCATAAGCAGGATCACCCCAAGTAGCGACTGTCCCATCGGCTTTGAGCGCTGCGAAAGCGGCCAGGGAGCCGATGACATGCTTTACATCAACGAGCCTGTCTTGAACATTGCTGCTGTCACCAGCCGAGTGGCTGGGACCCCATGTCACCACCTTTCCGTTGGCCAAAACAGCGGCAAAAGCAGCTCTGGATGCTGCGATGGACTTGACATGCACAAGTTGAGTCTGTACAGCACGACTGTCAGCACCTCGAGTCACATCACCCCATGTAACCACTCTGCCCTCAGATGTGATAGCAGCGAAAGCCCCTTCAGTTGCAACAATGCTTTGCACATCCTGCAATTGTTCCTGAATCTGCCTGCAGTCACCTCCATAGGTCTCTCGGCCCCATGACACAACATGTCCGTCTGCTCTGAGCGCAGCAAATGCCTTCTTTGAAGCCGTTACGCTCTGCACCCCCAGCAGATGCGACTGAACCCGCTTGCTGTTTCCACCTCGACTGGCATTACCCCAAGTTACCACCCGCCCATTGGCGAGAACCGCAGCAAATGCCCCTTGAGTCGCAGCAAGCTGTGTCACATCCACCAGCTGTTGCTGAACGTGACGGCTGTCACCACCATATCCATGATTCCCCCATGCAACCACCTGTCCATCTGCCCTCAAAGCTGCGAATGCTGAATCCGAAGCAACAAGTTGAACCACATCAAAGAGCTGATCCTGCACATGCCAACTGCGCCCCCCATGTTCAGGACAGCCCCAGGTCACCACCGAACCATCTGCTCGGACCAGGGCAAAGGAATCCAGGGTGGAAGCAATGATCGCTTCAGGCATCCTACGTCTGGCCACTGGCAGCCTGTCATGATCCTTGATTCCCACCTCTTCCAGTGTGAGGTGTCCAGGCTGTTGACTCAGTGAAATCAAGTCAAGATCCTGACAGCGGAAGCGCAAGTCATTCACCGTGCAGCTTGACATCACCTGAATTTCCAAGATCCTTCCGGAGAGGAATTCTAAGTGAAGGAGCATGGAAGCCATCGAAAAAGTAGATACAAATGGAGTTGGCCCCCAAAAAAAGAATCTGGCGCCGAACTGGTCTTGAAAATCAATGCTGCGGAGTGTTGAGGTGTTGAGGTGCATTCTCAATGAGAAGAGTTGAAACTTGGAATGTACAGAACTGTCTCGTGATACTTGCCAACAAAAGTCCAAGCTGCTTCCTGTACAGTATATCTATAATTCTATAATCATGCCTGAATCAAGAATGTTTCAGGTCTGAGTGTTGGTATTGCAAGACATGGTATATAAACCTGTGCCACAAAGATTTCAATCCCACCCATTTCTGGCAAGGCTTTTGGGGGTGGCGTGTGTCTGTACCTTGTTTTACTAGAGCAAATCCCATGTTCTCCTATTATCTCCTCATGAAAATGCCCATTGTTTCCCCGTATATAGGTTCCTGGTTGGTGGTTGACCTACCCCTCTGAAGAATATTATATAATTAGTCAGTTGGGATGATGACATTCCATTCCCAACTGAATGGAAAGTCATAATCCAGTCATGTTCCAGTCACCACCAACCAGGTCAGTTGTTCATCACCGATCCTTCGTGGTGTCCATGGACCATCTGCCGAGGGTCCGAGAGAACGCGATCCAACTTCTGCTTGGTCGTCACGACCACCAGGGCTTTGGCACTGCGTTCCACCAACTGCCTGGGGCCAGTCGTTCCACATCGTGCCACCAAGACATGGGGAAGAAAAACCGACCCATTACTTGGTGGATCTTGGTGGCAAAAAAAGGGGATCAGGGCCATGGATTCCATCACCAAGGCAATTTTGCATTACCATTACCCTCTGCTGAAAAACTTGGCTAGTTTTTTGGTTGGAAAATCATCTATAAATGGGGAACTGTCCGACTTGGCCAAGTTTGATTACCGGTAATGGGTATATTGACGCCGATTACCGGATTGATGACCATCCCTGAATATGGTGGTAGAATCCAACTCTCTACAATGTCACATATCGACCCGAATGCGGGACTTATTGAGGCGCTCTGGAGGATTTTCTGAACCCACATTGGATTCTTCACAATCCACCCGGGATGAACCGGGGCACTTCTGTTGGCACACCCTGGAAAACTAGGCATGGAAAGCAATGAAGACACTTGCTACCAGAAAAATGTGACTTTTCAGGAGGGAATTCCGATCGCCCCACTTATTCATCCGGAAGATTACTACAATTCCCACGCCTGAACCAGGTGGTGGCCCACCAAAAAAAAGTTATACAACCCATCCGCAAATATATCTACCATCCTAGGCATAGTTAAGCGAACTATAAACCAACTTACCTATCTAGGGGGGGCCACCTTGAAATCGTGGGATGATTCCCCTCTGGGCCATCAACGTTGATGTTGACCACTGGATCCACTGGTTGGTCGGCTATCCAGAAATTTCTCTGGAATATCCCCGATTATAAAAAGGGGAATCTTGAACCTGCTTAAGGTCTCCCAACAAAAATCAGACAAACAATTCCTCATAGATTCCATGATTCCCTAATTATGTCATACTATGTCTAATGGATTAACCAGAATATTAAGTGGTTCGGCAGAATGCACCATGTTATCATCTTCAATGCATCCCAGTTATGAACCTAAAAATGTCATATACTTGCTGATATCCCTATGATATCCCCATATTGGTTGGTGTTATGCCCCCAAAATTTCCTGGTGAAATCCCACGAAATTCCCGATTTTTCTGGTTGGTCGGAACATATATACCCTAGTAAAGCCCTAATTCTTCATGGTTCAATCGCCATATTTCATGGTGAAACCACCATTGTTCCCAGCTAGAACCCACCATTTCTCCCAGTTAAACCAGCTGGGCTATGCACCCAACGTCTCCAAGTCGCCCCAAGGAGCTCAACACCTTCATCAGCTGCCCTGTGCGTGTCTCGCAGCGCCGTAGACGGGAGCTGCCGTGGCAGCGGGAGAGGAAGGTCTCCAAAGTGTCACCCAACCTGCAGGGCCGAGCTCGCGTTCAGAAACGCCTGAAAAAAGCGGCTGAATTCTATATGGTTTGTGGATGTTTGTGGTAGATATAACTCGGGATTTGTAATGTTTTATAAACGAACTTCTAACTGGGGGCACCATCCTGTCGGGATTTTAAGGATTTAAATGGATGGATTTAAGGGAAAATCATCGAAAATACCTCGGTGAATTTAGGGGAACTGCGTGTTAACCCTCATACCGTCTCATACCTGTCATGTATTGAGGGAGATACCGCACTTACATGCAACAATCTTTCAAAGATTCAGAAATATTTATGGAACCTCAGAAATACATGGGGGGTTGTCTGAAATAGGCTACAAAAAAAAAACATGGTTCATCCTTATGTTCCCAACCAGACTGTTCTTCTAGGCCTCTCTATCCACCATTGAAACCGTTGAGCCCAGCAACTGCCGATCCAATTGGAGCCGATCGCTCAAAAGAAGGATCAAGGTGAAGCCTTTTTTCGTGGGATCATGGACCTGGCAGGTGGCGAAAACTTTGGAAATTGAAAAAAAAAACTGAGAAACTTGTGAGCAAAATGTGGGTTTTGCATGGTTTTGTGGGCACCGAGCAAAATGATGGTGGAGGACTCCGGACATCTGCTTGATATGTTTTGGCAGAAGGCTGGTGTCAACAACTCATCTTCACCTTACAACTTAAAGCATAGGCAAAGGCAAGCACTTCCTTCAGTTTGGCTGTCAGCTGTAAAACGTTGCTTGCTGACCACTTCTTTGCTCGAAAATTTGTTTGGTACATTCCTGACTGTAGCAGCCACGTCTGGAGATCGGTCATCATTTTGCCTCATCACCTACCATTCACGGGTGAAAAACCCTAGGTCCAGTAGAAACCTCCAGCAGACAGAAACTCCGGTCCATGGTCCAAGGCTTGGAATTCCCCATTTTTTGAAGCTGCCATGTCATCCCTGGAATCCCACGATTCTTGCCAGTTCCAAGACAAATATTAGATGTTTTGCTGAATTTGAGTTGATTATTGCCTTAATTAAATGTGTTTTACCACTGACATACAATCAATGGATGTCACTGAGGCGAAAGGGATGATAGCTATATCAACTGGATCCATGTTGAGTTCCAAAGCTAGTATTCCAGCCTGGTATGGAATAAATCTTTGGTTTCTATTCATTCTACGTATATAATGGATTCTAAATACTTCCGGTTTGCTCCAACATGACTTGCTGGAAATTTCTCCATCGATGAATGCTCTTCCCGGCTTTAAACCTCTTTAGGGGATTTGGCTTTCGCAGCTCGCCATGGTTTTATTCACAAAGGCTATTCCCATGATATCCCCGTTGTAGGTATATGTATTTTACATCAATGTCTGCCCATCCCCATTTTCCCATTATATCCCCATTATATCCCCATCAAATCACCATTTAATCACCATTGGTTTTGGTTAAATCACCATGAAATCGCCATTTTTGCGGGTGAAATTCCATTGAATCACCATGAATCACAGCAGTGCTGTCATCCCCACCTGCTCCGCCAATTGGTGGACTAAGAGGGCCATGGTGGCCGACTTGCCGCTGCCTGCAGGGCTATCAGATCCCCAAGAAAAAACGAGATCAAAATATAAATAGATCCTGAGGACTTGGTGTACAAAATCCCATTTGTGTTAACTTTAAGGACGTTTTTCAGGCTGTCTTTTGGAATCGTTGCCATTGGCTTTTCGGTCCAGCTGGATCTCCAATGGCCATGGCGTGCTCCAAAAATCCCACCCAAAACCCCACAGCTGCGATGATTTTCCCAGCTACTTTGGGGATTTCCAGTTGCCATGTTTGATGACACCGGAGGCTAGATGTACCCTCTGGTAATTTATTACATAGCTATTGAAAATGGACCATAGAAATACTGTAGTTGATTTACCTGAAGAGAAGATGGTGATCATAGTACCCTCTGGTCATTTGTTACATAGCGAACTGGAAAATCACCATGTTTAATGGATAATTCAACTATAAATGGCAATTTTCCACAGCTATGTTAGTTTACCAGAGGGTATATTTTTATGATCCTCCAGGGAAGGTTTCCATGGCAACGAAACAAACGATTTGGCGAGTCAAAACCCTGGGACCGCAGGTACCCTAAATAGCTGCTTGATGGATGATATGGATGTGTATTCCCCCTGGTATTTCATAGGCAAATTGGCCCATCCCCATTTTCCCATTATATCCCCATTATATCCCCATCAAATCACCATTTAATCACCATTGGTTTTGGTCAAATCACCATTAAATCACCATTTTTGTTGGTTAAAGCACCATTAAATCACCATAAAATCATTTTTTTGTTGGATGTCCATTGTATCCAACCGTTTTCTGATTAACCAAGTGATCCGCTGCCTGTGGCATGCTGCACCAGGAGGTTTCTTCGCCCATCGACGCTGAGAGCGTGCAAGATGCAGTCCACGGCCTGCCGCGCCTAGATTCCTAGATAGCTAAGTCGGTGAATATAACTCCAAGACGTATGGTTTATGATAATTATTAACTATATTGCAAATAATATATATATATATATGAATACTTACATTTATTATTGGCCAGTTATAAACAGATTTACTGGCGCAAAAAACATGTAATTTTCCATAGCTGTTAGTTTACCAGAGGGTAATTTTGCTCAAGGTCCAACCCCTGGCCCATGGTTTCTGACTTTTCAAAGACCTTCGGCTTGGATTTGCCTCGCGTCAGGAATAGAAAACTGTTGGATATCATGGAAAAGTCAACCAAAATGGCGATTTTTCATGGTGATTCACCCAACAGAAATGGTGATGAAATATGGTGATCTGATGGTGATATCATGGGATCAAACACTGGAATGTCACTGGTGATATCCATCGGCAAGACTTCTCGGACTCCCAAAAGTGGAATCCCCACGATGATTTTGCCACATTCTATGTTGGCAACGTCATCATTCTGGTGTTGAATCATTGCCTCGTGGCCAAATCCCAAAAAGACTGTTGGTTGCTCTCGTCTATCCTTTTTGCTGTTTGGTACAATGCCTTGTTTTATTGTCGGCTGTTGGTGAGATCTCCACAATGTTTCAATCCGTGTTTGTTGCTAATAAAGTCCATTTAAAAAAACCTCTTGGTAACATCTATATATTTTCTCTTGGTAAAAATCTATTGAAAATCACATGTTTCTGGGTGAAATCCTGCTAAATCCGCATGTTTCATCATTTTTACTTGTAAGATCTCCACCTTTTGGCTGGTTCCAACCCCACCTGAACACCCCTTTCTCAGCCTAACCTCGATCTGATGTCGCCAGGGTTTTCGCCCTGTTCCGCGGAGGAACGTGGACTCCATGACGCCATGGATGCAGCGCGACGCAGGGGGGGTAGTAGTGGTTAGTTAGTGGTTATTGTTAGTAAACCCCTTAGTGGTTAGTGGTGGTTGGTAATTTACCTCCAGGTCGCGAAGTTGCTAACTACAATTGCCAGGGTTGCTCCGAAACACTCCAGGTATGTTTGGGAGGTAAATGGAGGAAATATAGAGGTAAAAGGACCCATTTACCCCCGTTGTGGCTATCATTTACCTATAATGAGTTAAAGCCACCCTCTGTTGGGCTTATGGGTGGTATATCGAACAGGTCAGATGGTTCAATGATGTTGATTGAACTATGTAGAAAAAAATGTAATGTTGGATGCTGATTAGTGGCTAGGGTTCGGTATTGTGGCAAAATTTCTCCAAATTATTCTGAAACCCATGTATTGTTTGGAGGGTTCACTTTTGTGGCAAGAAAGTTTGGGAGACCCTTTTTTTTGGAAAAAAAACAACCTCTAATTGCTGAGAGGCAGACTTTTTTTCCAAAAGCAATTGCCAAATTCAAATGCCAAGCCTTTCCCAAAGGAGCCAATCCCTTATTAAACCCTTTTTTAAGAAAAGCTGTTCCACAAGTTTCCAAGGCCCTGGACCAGGAGAGGCTCCATTTCACTTTAGTAGGTTTGTTTGCTGGGTTCACTATTGCAGCAAGCTGTGCCAGAGCAGCTCCTGGAAACCCAGAAGAGAAGCAAGCATTTTCCAAAAGCAATTGCCAAATTCATTTTTTTGGCATTTCAATAAAATACACTAAAGTACTACAAATACTATAAACACTACAAGTACTAAACATACAACAGATACTAATTACAAGTAACTGCTACAAGTACTACACATACCACAACTACTACAGCTACTTTAAATACTACAACTACTACAGGTACAACAAGTACTACAAGTACTACAAGTACTACAAGTACTACAAGTACTACAAGTACTACAAGTACTACAAATACTACAAGTACTACAAGTACTGCAAGTACTACAAGTACTACAAGTACATCGGCAAAAAAAAAGTTTTAATTTGATTTCAATTGTAGCCAATTGAAATCCTTACTTAAGTGCGGATTTGTTTTTCCTGGGAAGAAAATGTTTGGCGCTCCACTTTAAAGAGGGACCAGCTATTGTTGAGGGGGGGAGGGGAGGGGGGGGCCTCACACTAATCAGGAACCAACATTACTAGCCACCACTGGAAACAGATGATGGTTGATTGAACTATTTGATAACTACATGGTGCCCGACCCCCAGACGGCCGTGTTTTTCAGGCCATCTTCAGGATCAAAACTGTTGTTTTACTGCAGTGTTTCATGATTTTTTCTTTCCGGTCCTGAGATTTAACGTTTGAACATCTCCCCAAATTACTGATTTTGTTTCATGATTTGGGTTATTTGAAGATCACGGTATAATTAATATAATATAATATAATATAATACAATATAATATAATATAATATAATAGTGGATCTAACTTATACCTCTTCTTGCTCTGCATTTCCTTCATCATCGCGCACGAGCTGCGCAATGACGATGTTCGCCAGAACCTTTGCAGGATTTGTGTATCCTTTGGCCAAACGCCATTGATACATCATCACATGTTTTATATATCAAGATGTTCCTTACAATCACGACCTTTGCCCAAGCGACGTGGGAAGGAGGCTGGGATACTTTCTTTCAAATCCAAGCCACAGCCTATCTGCCACCTGGTTGGTGTGATTCTCGATTGTGTCTCTTTCCTTTCTTTTCCAAGACTTTAGTTCACTGCGTTACCCGTACTTCGGGGAGATTAGTCCACTGTTGTTTTCTTTAGTCCACTGAGAGTCCATTGTCTTTTTTAAAGACTTTAGCAACCCTGTTGCAACGTAGCAGCAGAAAGAGCAAGTAAGCTAACAGCAACCAAATTGCAACGTAGCAGCAGAAAAAACTAGTTGCGGAATGCCCATGTATGCGCATTCCGCAGATGAAAGCACAGAAATGAAATTCCACAAAGACAAGACGCTATTGCCCCCTGGAACCCCCCTGGAACCCCCCTTAAAAGGTAAAAAGGTGATGTTTTTGCCACGGCCGTCTAGGGTAAAAGGGGTCCAACTATGATCGATGGCCATGAAAAATTTCGTTCGCTGATCGTGGCTGAAATCGCCGGTCGAACCACATCAGCAGGTAAAAGAATTTAAGACTCGTCAAGGTTTGAGGCTTTTTTAAAGTGCCTCTCATCCATTAGACCTTTTAGTTATATTATATATGTAGATATATATATATATATATATGTAGTTATATGTGTATGTAATTTGACGATTGTTGGTCATGTCGCTCTTGTGTCGAACATCGAAGAGGAGAAGAAACGACACTCTCCAGCAGCAACTGACGAATGTAACCCACTGACCCCGGGGGAAGCTAACAGTTTGCTATCAAAAATCACCATTTTGAGTTGGCAAATCTACTAATATTATGGCCATGTTCAATAGCTGTGTGAAATTACCAGAAGATATAGGTTTGTGGGTTCTTTTCTGTTCTTTTTACGATGGTTATAATCATCTATAATGTCAATCCTGGATTAATAAACCCCTAGGCTGTTTAATTGGGAAGGTACCATTTAAGTATCAAATCATGACTATTGGGGGAATACCCCCCTAATTAATAAACCATGGTTTATTAATCCGGGGTTGACATTAATCCAGCTGCGAGTACCATTGACCGTTCATGGATGGACCACGATCCAACTACCTATACATTTCAAAGTGACTAACTTCAGGGTCGATCCTTGACTTGCTGTCCCAACTTTTTTTGCCCCTGGCAGGCTGGAAGGTGCCGCGAACGTCCTCTCGCGACGAAGATTTCGGCTGTCTCACTGCAGAAAAGTCGGAAGCTCGCAGCCCACGGTCGAAAATGCGACTTCTATCGTTTAGAAGCATGATCTGTGATCAACATACATTTAATTATTATATAATTATCTACTTTTTGCATGATTTCTGATCTTTTCTATGATCATTCACATATTTAGATTACTGTAGAACCAAAAAAATGCCAAAAAAATCTCATGATATCGTGACTATCCTGGTTCAATAGATCCCCAAACTGTATATCCACCATTTAGCTCGATGCTTTTCCCATATATATATATGCCCATGACTATATAGTTCGGGGATTTCCCAGACAGCCACGGCAGCCACGGGCTGATGACGCTGGAAGATAATAGCCACAAAA